CTAGACTAATTAAAAAAAAAACACTTTTGTTATACTGCATTGTCACCACTTAATGTGCAATGTAAAATGTTTAATATTGTGTGTGTATCAACATTGAACCTATAATTATTTTTGTCTAGACCAACTTCACCTGTCAAGACCACCACAAGGTACAGTAACCACAGTCTTGCTGACTAACCAGAAAAAATACGGCTCCAGATTGCTGACTAACCTGGAAAAAATGTAATTACTAATACCTTTTATTAACTTCTTAACCTATTTCATTTACAGCATCAAGACCTACACTAAGGAGGATGTTTCACCGACTAAAACAACATCCTATAGCACAAAGAGGTTAGACCGTGAAGGATTCGCAATAGTATTTATAGCAAAAAATAAATAATAATAATACAGTAATGAAATGAACTTGCATTTAGAGACTGAATTGTTGCTCACAGCACATGTTTTGTGTCTCTAAAGTGACTACACAACTGAAGTGGTTACTGTGAAGTCTTCAAAGGACATCATTAATGTGTGAGTGACACAGATCAGTGCTTCTCAGCCCAAGAATGATGGAAAGCAGTGGGGGAAATGCTAGCTAGACAAAAAAAACAACAACTTTTGTTATATACTGCATTGTATATAATGCAAAATGTTTAATGTTGTGTGTGTATCAACATTGAACCTATAATTATTTTTGTCTAGACCAACTTCACCTGTCAAGACCACCACAAGGTACCGTAAGCACAGCCTTGTTTTCAGATTGCTGAGAAAAAAGGTGGATACTCTCCTAACCTTTTAACACTTTCATTTACAGCATCAAGACCTACACCAAGGAGGATGTTTCACCAATTAAAACAACATCTTACAGCACAAACAGGTGGGAACTCGAAGATTGTTCACATGACAATTCTTATTGCAAAAATAATACAGTGCAATGAAATGGAATTGCATTTAGAGACTGAATTGTTGCTCACTGAACTTGTTTTGTGTCTCTAAAGTGACTACAAGACTGACGTGGTTACTGTGAAGACTTCAAAGGACATCATTAATGTGTGAGTGTCACAGATCAGTGCTTCTCAACCCAAGGGTCACGACCCACAAATGACTTGCAGCTCTGTTTTGACAGTCACAGACAGCAGGGGAAAATGATAAATAGAAACTGTCCAGGCAACTTACCATATATTCATGCATGAATAGAACAGAAACAGCATTTAAAGTCATGCCACATTTTGTTGATTACATTTAGTAAGTTTTTAAATTCAGCTTATGTAATGTTAATAATTTTTTCATATTGTGGGGCCTATACAGTTCATATTAATGAATTTCAATATTTTGATTTAAGGACATTTTGGTTTGCTTTCGAACAAACTGTTTTGGTAAACTGCGCTGTGTCACCACTTGATGTGCAATTTAAAATCTGTGGAATATGATAGGATCCCATAATTCATTTTTGTGTGTGTGTGTGTGTGTGTGTGTGTGTGTGTGTGTGCATATTAACACTGAACCTATAATTATTTTTGTCTAGACCAACTTCACCTGTCAAGACCACTACAAGGTACAGTAACCACAGCCTTGCTGACTAACCAGAAAAAATGCAGCTCCAGATTGCTGACTAAACTGGAAAAAATGTGATTACTAATAACTTTTATTAACTTCTTAACCTATTTAATTTACAGCATCAAGACCTACACCAAGGAGGATGTTTCACCGACTAAAACAACATCCTATAGCACAAAGAGGTTAGACCGTGAAGGATTCGCAATAGTATTTATAGCAAAAAATAAATAAATAAATAATGATAATAATAATGCAGTGTAATGAAATGAACTTGCATTTAGAGACTGAATTGTTGCTCACAGCACATGTTTTGTGTCTCTAAAGTGACTACACAACTGAAGTGGTTACTGTGAAGTCTTCAAAGGACATCATTGATGTGTGAGTGACACAGATCAGTGCTTCTCAACCCAAGGGTCACGACCCACAAATGACTTGCATGTTCTACATCTATGCTGATGGATCACCGAGGGCAGAGAAAATGTTAATTGCATGTTAATTGCAATTAAATGAAAATATATTATAGTTTAAATTTATATTAAATGCAATTAGCTGAACTTTAGAGTGCTTTTTTGACCACTTATGTAGGACTTAAAGGGTTAGTTCCCCCAAGAATGAAAATTCTGTCATTAATTACTCACCCTCGTGTCGTTCCAAACCCGTAAGACCTTCGTTCATCTTCGGAACACAGTTTAAGATAATTTTGATGAAATCTGAGGGCTCTCTGACCCTCCCATAGACAGCAAGGTAACTACCACGTTCAAGATGTACCAAGTACCAAGATGATCGACAAAGTAGTCCGTGTGACATCAGTGGTTCAACTGTAAAGTTACGAAGCTACGAGAATACTTTTTTGCGCAAAGAAAACAAAAATAACGACTTTATTCGACATTTTCATCTCTACTGCGTCACTTGTGGACTTATGTCGACTTATGTCGATCATCTTGGTACTTTTCTGGACCTTGAACGTGGTAGTTACCTTGCTGTCTATGGGAGGGTCAGAGAGCCCTCATATTTCATCAATCATATCTTAAACTGTGTTCCGAAGATGAACAAAGGTCTTACGGGTTTGGAACGACATGAGGGTGAGTAATTAATGACAGAATTTTCATCTTTGGGTGAACTAACCCTTTAAGCACATGTCATTTCATAATTACTTCTGTTGTCTTTGAAATATAGTTCAAGTTTACTGCTGAATGTACTGACAAGCTTTTATGCTAAACTAAAATGTAAATATAATAATCTGTTGAAGCTTGTATGTCATGTATCTAAATATGTTTTTCAGTTACACATTTGAAATGAAGTCGTAATCGTAAAACTTTAAATGTAATACTGAATAACACACTACAGATAAAATTATAATCAAGTACTTTACATGTGCTTTAGTATGTTAGTCAACACATCAAGATAACCTACTTAAGCACAACAAAAGATGATCAAATCATAATAAATGTACTTTTAATTTCATGTTATTTTAAAATCGACTCCAAAAATTATATCATACTATTAATTTGGTTGTTGGTGGGTTTCTGTTGTATTTTTTGTGGGTATTAAACTGAAACCTATTTTTATTTTTGTCTAGACCAACTTCACCTGTCAAGACCACCACAAGGTACAGTAACCACAGTCTTGCTTACAGATTGCTTACTAACCTAAAATAATGAGGCTGCTCTATTAACCTCTTAACATATTTTCAATTCTAGCATCAAAACCTACACCAAAGGGGATGTTTCACCCACTAAAACAACAACATATTCTGTCCGGTCCACAAAGAGGTGAGAACCTGAAAGATATTTCCAAGTAAATGCCCATCAATGCTTTTCTTCAGACAAAGAAATTCACTGACTGAATGATTTTTTACAGCACTGAGGATCAACTATTTGATACTCTCATACCAACATCAATCAAGTCAGCCAACACTGACAGCAGGTATGTGGCATTTGCATATTTATAAGGTGTGAACCCATTCGTGGTGAGTTTGACATTTGCTTCGGCCTTTAAGTAGTTTAACCAGTCTGACAGGCTAAAAGCACAAAAGCAGCTGCACATTCATACTTAGAGCTCACGACTTTCCATTAGAGCTTCACTCTCACTGCAGCAGTGTTTATTCTATCATGGACTTTTATCGTTCCTACAGTCGCGAGGATGTATCGGTCTCCAAATCCATCAGAACCGTGTATTCTACAAATGAGAGGTAGGATGGTATTTCTTATTCAAGCATCTTTGCCTGATCCATTATCTGTTGTTTATTACACTGCTTTATCTTTTTTAAATGCATGTAGAGATGAATGGAGTACAGTCACAAGTCCTTCTTACAGCAGAACATCATACACAGAGAGCAGGTTGAGCATCCACATTGACACATTCAGATATCTTGTCATTTACAGCTGTAAAACACTACATTACTCATTACATTTGACCTGGTTTGTAGACTTAGTTACGTCATTTTGTCCACAGGCCTGTTGATTACCTGTCTGACACGCTCGCATCAAAAACCACTACGACTGTGTACACTTCACCGGAAAGGTATGGAAGCGGAAAGCAGTTCATATTTAATATTTAGTGCACATGTGAAATGCATATGACTTTGTTGCAGGGTAGTAAGTGGGAAGGACATTTGCACAGTCTGCCATAAAAACATGTACACAGATGAAAAGATGATCCTGGATGACATGAATATCAACTGTCATGCAAGTTGTTTCAAGGTTATTCCTTTTTAAACTCTTAAAAAATGTGTAGCACTTTATTGTTTTCATTAAATCAAAATTGATGAAAACTGTATGAATGCAGTATGAAATATGAACATTTTATTTTATAGTTACGATTTTTGTTGATGTTATTAATGTATTAAAATGTGTCTTATTATAGTGTTACTTAACTATAAGGATTTTCATATTTAATTTCAATAAAAACAAAACAATGAAAAATAATGCAATTTTAAAAGAATTCATGTTTTATTCAAGAAAAAGAATTTAAACGTATATTTTATTTTTATTATTATTATTACTTTTATTTTTAGTGTGGGGTGTGTAATGCTTCTCTGGGACTCCTGAAGGCAGGGGACAGTTTGTGGGTGTACCGTCGTGCCATTCACTGTGAGAGCTGCTTTGGTGTCACTAAGGGTAAGACTCACTCTACTCTGCTTTTCAGTATCCTGAATCATACAGTCAATATGTTTGCAAAAAAAAAACAACCCAAAAATGTATTTTTTACAGGCAAATGGCTCCGCTGAAACTACATTTAGCAATAATGAAGTGATGTTATGAAAGAGATGGCAAATATACATGCCTATTCCGAAACTTTCCCACGGCTTTGATTTGGACTCGGGCCATTTGAAGTGCATAAAACAGTTTTTGGTGGTGGACTTCTGTCTGATAATAGACTTTGGGGTTTATTAATTGCATTGATTGCTATCCTCCCCGATGATGCGACAAGGATCTTATCTGATTATCAAAATAATAAGAATATTTTTAAAGAAGTATATTTTTGCTCATACATGATAATATATATATTTTTGAGTTATATATTTTTTTCTTCACTAATGTTATGTTATTAAAGCATAAATGTGAATGATGAGAAAATATGAGAGTTTTCATCTGATTGTCTTTTATTGTTCAGATCTGGTTAAACATCATTCCAGAGACCAGTTATGCAGTACCTTTCACCGTTGTAGCTATAAATTGAATATGCTTGTATTTCTAAAGAATTGCAGGCTTTCAAAAAATATGCTGTGATCAAGATCAGACACTTCAACTCGTGTCTTATGACAGGATTCTTAAGAGGATGCAAATAAAGAGCTAAAGTTAGCCATTGCTCTGTGAGGGATTAAGAGAGTTTGCTTACATAAAATGTTTATATTATCTGTGCTTCTGTAATTTTATCAAGAGGGAGAAAAACCAACTAAACTTCAAGACATCACAGAATTCTTTAAATCAATTACATGTTTGTTGTGCTGAATCAAGTAACACATTGAGTTAAACTTAAAAATTTTGAAAGACTGAAATTGTATTTTCAGTAACACTTTAGAATAGGGAACATATATTCACTACTAAGAGTTTTCCCTGAATAGACTCCTAATTTGCTGCTTATTAATAGTTTGTACGGTAGTTGTTAAGTTTAGTTATGGGGTGGTCATGTAGAATAAGGCATTAATATGTGCTTTATAAATACTAATAAACAGCCAATATGCTAGTTGTCATGATCATGGACTTTTAGTTTGTTTTCTTTCCTCATGTTTCCATTGACCTAGTTTTCCAACGTGTCTGATTAGTTCATTCTGTTCACCTGTGTCTAGTTTATTATCTTAATTTGTCGGTGTACTTAAGTTCCTGTCTGTTCTGCCGTAGTTTGCCAGATCTCATCTATGTGTTCACGTCTGCTAAGCCTTCCTCTTGTGGATTTACCTTCTGTGTGGAGAATTAAAGATTATTTTACCTTCATCATCTTCGTGAGTGTTTTGAGTGCACCATAGTGTGACACTAGTAATATGCATGCCAATAAGCAAGTCAATAGCGAGAATTGGTCCTTAAAATAAAGTGTTACCGTATTTTCTTGTGAAACATAGTACAACTTTTACAAGTGTAGTTAAATAATTTGAAACTCACCCTGTTCACTTAAATTGTGATATTACAATAAAAGAAAACTAATACATTTACAACACTAAAATTGTGAGTTTAATATCTCATCCAATATATTAAGACATGGGCCAATACCATTCAAACATTTGGAGACGGTGAGATCATTTTTTTTATTTAAAAAAGTCTCTTAAGCTCACCGAGGATATTTATTTGATCCAAAAATACAATAAAAACAGTAGTATTGTGAAATACTATTGCAATTTCTATCTTAATATATTTTAAAATGTAATTTATTCCTGTGTTCAAAGCAAATTACTCCAGTCTTTACCAGTGTCACATGATCCTTCAGAAATCATTCTAATATGATGTTTTGCTGCTTATGAAACATTTTTGATTATTATCAATGTTGAAAACAGCTGTGCTGCTTATTATTTTTGTAGATGCCTTGACGAATAGAACGTTCAAAAGAACAGCATGTATTTGAAATAGAACTATTCTGTAACATTGCAAATGTCACTTTAGTTCAACTTACTGTCCTTAATTTGAACGGTGGTGTATATTATGGGAATGTGAAACTGAAATAGCTTACATAGTTGAAGAATTGAATAGAATAGAATATATGACACTCCAAATGTAGGCTAAGGCACCATTTTATTGCTAGTCATCTGAATCAAATGAGGGCTGGCGAGGAGCTGGGGTTCAGTGGCTGGTGTTTTGCCTGGTAATGTGGTGGTCGTGTGTTGTGTTTTGAACTGAGGGGGAGGAGACAGAGAGAGACACGGGCATGAGCAGCACATAAGCATCTGAATGAAGCATGCAAGCTGTCTGAAAGCACTGCGAGTCTGGGCACACGGTAAACAACACCGCCACCATCTTACTACTGTTTATATGCTTTTCTCTTCAATGGACGGACTATTGTTCAACCCGCAGATGATGGCGGACGTCAATGGCAACAGTAAGATAATGAACGCAGAACTGGAGGTGAAAAAGCTTCAAGAGCTCGTGAGAAAACTGGAGAGGCAAAACGAGCAGCTCAGGACGAGAGCAAACGCTGCGAACAACTACACCTCCAGCACCCGTCTGTTAGCAGCTCCGGCTGGCCCAGACACCGGGAATTACTGCGTTTCACTTTCATATTCTCCCTCTCTTGGACTATCGGATGAGCACTATCTGTATTTTCATCCGCAGTCAGTGACTGGTGCTGATGAGGATGATGCTACTGTACTGGATGAGGTGGAAATACTAGACCTTCATGTTGTTCTTCCCATCGATGGAGAGTCTGATTATAGCTGGTACTTATGCTGTATTATTTACTTAGTAAACAATGGTGTAATTCTTGCCTAGAAGGCTATGGTTTGATTTTCAGCGTCGCATGCTCTTTGTCATCCCTTAAATTCAGTTCCCATGAAATGTCACCATAAGTGGACTACTGTATGTGTCCAGGTTCATTGTTTGGTGGGTGGGTGTCTGAACATCACTGATGCTGCAGCATATCTTATTAGGGTAGCAGACTGGCTTGCTGTTTCTTGCATTTGTTGATGTGAAAAATTTCAATTTTTCTTAAGATCGTTTGTCTTCTAAATGTGAAGTGCAAAGATGCATAAATATTTGACTGGTCGTTTGTGATGATTTCACACCAGATGGTCAAAAGTAGTCTAACTTGAACCTGTGCACTATACAGAAATGAAAACGGACCAAATCTGGCCTGTCTTTGTTATGGGATGAAACATTTACGGTGGCCGAGAAGTGCAAAGCAGATCACAATTCTGAAAACAAAATAACAAATTACAAACGCAAATGCAAGTCTAAAAAACAAAATAACAATTCAGAAAACATTATAACAAGTCAGAAAACACTAAAAGTGGCCATAAAACACCAACTCCAGTGGCGCAGATGAATAAGTGCGTGCCCTTGGATTCTTGACGCGATCGACCCGGGTTTGATGCCGCCTTTTGCCGAACTTTTTTTTTCTCCCTTTTCAAATCTCGTATTAGCAATGGATTCTACTTACACTAAGTGAAAATAGCAGTATTTTTAGCAATATGCTAATTACACTAAGTGCAAATACCTATTTACACTATGTTAAAATAGCAGGATTTCTACTATCAAGTATACTACTTGTTGCAAATAGTGGCAATTATCTGCACTTCAGTATTGTAGTACATTATAAAACAGTATGCAATAATAACGTATTGAGTGTAAATTATCATTTTAATTTTAATTATTAAATGGATGCCACCTTATTGGTACAATAAAGCCCTCCCTACACCTACCCTAACCCTACCCGATACTTTATTTTCAACTTTTTGATTATTTCCTTAATTTTTATTGAAAATAAATGCCTTTACGATGTGATACGAGATTTGAAAAGGGAGAAAAAAAAAGTTCGGCAAAAGGCGGTATCGAACCCGGGTCGATCGTGTTAAAAAGCCAAGGGCATGCACTTATCCATCTGCACCACTGGAGCTGATGTTTTACTGCTACTTTTAACTACATGTAAATAGACACCCCGTATTTTTTATTCCAGAGTAAGGGCAATTCATACAATACATTTAAACTGAGCTACTTTAATACCATCTCCAAACTTTCTACCACGACTCTGCTGTTCTTCGGCTGGTTCTTCCTGTATACGTTGATTGACAGATGTCTCGTCCAGTCAGCGGTGAATAATCCCAAACCAATGGCGCTGCCTCAAACTATACCTACCTCTTCCGGTTTGTCTGATTTGTCTTTGTGTTTTCTGACTTGTTATTTTGTTTTCGGATTTGTCGTTGTGTTTTCTGACTTGTTCATTTGTTTTCGGATTTGTCATTGTGTTTTCTGACTTGTTATAATGTTTTCTGAATTGTTGTTGTGCTTTCTGAATTGTTATTTTGTTTTTTAGACTTGCATTTGCGTTTGTAATTTGTTATTTTGTTTTCAGAATTGTGATCTGCTTTGCACTTCTCGGCCACCGTAAACATTAGTCTTGAATGCACAACTCCTGCAGTGGGACTCATTGAAAATAATGAGTCAAAACTACTTGGATTCCACTTGGAATCTCTTATATAGAAGGGGCAGAAGTTTTCTTGAACTTACTTCTTTAGTTCACGTCACATCCATAATATAGTTTTTTCCTCATAACACTCTTCATAATATATATATATATGTTGATATTTTTATGTTCAGCTATGACCACTTCAATATTATCAATATATTTATACATTAGACTTCAGATTTCAAAGAAAATGGTCTACTGAAGATTCTGTCACTTCCTGTCACATCCATAATGCATGCCTATTTGCCTGTTTTGGGGGGCTTTAGAAAAATATATTTTGCCTGTTTGGGTGCTTTGAGAATATGCATTACCAATTGAAATACTGTAAGATGTTTATTTGTACCGAGACATTTCAGCTGTCATTATAGAGTTCAAATGTCACATCCATAATGCTGAAATTGCCCATGCTGGAGAACTTATGGAGTTCATGCAACTTGATTGCTGCCAACACAATCTCATGGCAGTTTGTAACTATTTTATATTTTGCTGAATTGGTGGCTGTTTAGTGTGAATTTGTACATTTTCATCTGAATCACATTGTACGAATTCATACAAAATTGCTACCTCACAAATACTTGTTTTTTTGTGTTAAGTAAAAGAGGGACAAACCAAATACTAGGACATTATTAAACTAGGATTATAATATAATTTGTAATGACATAAAAAGTAATTTTTGAAAAAAGTACAAAAATGTCACTATGGTCTCAGATGTGAAGCCCACTTTATTTGTTCATACAGTATGGCACAGGATATTAAGATTAAAATATGTATTTAAAACAGAGTTTTATTCAGTGTTACATCTTCATTAAAACCAAAACAATACAATAGATAACATCAGGACATTCACGGAAATGGGTAGACATTTGATCAAGTC